TCCATACATTTGAGGTTTCTTTGAATTAACAGTTACTCGTTGACTAAATCCTAAATCAGAAATAACAGCTTCAAAATCATTCGTGATAATGAGAATATTGCCACTGTGTAAATCACAGTGTATGATTTTCTTATTGTGAAGTAATTTAATTCCAATAATAGTATCACGGAACAAATCAATCTTTTTTTTCCACGTAACTTTTTTAAAGTTTTTACATAAAAAATGATGTAAATCTCCGTTTGGTGCATAATCTAAAATAAATGCATAGTTCTTGGTTTTTGGGTCTTGGGTTGCTCCATAACATTTTATTACAAATTTTGACTTCAACTCATAGTTAAGTTTTAGCTATAATATAAAAAATTTAAAAATAGTGAATGCTAATGGATGAAAAATCTAATTAAATGTTAATGAGCACGAAGTGATTAATTACCTCGTTTAAAAATTTTGTATCGGCATTCTTGGAGTTATTCAAAGCTTTTAAAACAATGTGCCTTTTCTGGCCATTAGAATTCCAATTTGCCTTAAAAATTTTACTAAATCCGCCTTCTGCGATATACTTAATATTTAAAAAATTATTATATGGAACCCATACTAGATATGGTTGCGTGTGTTTGATGAATTTATCAATGTTTTTATTACCACTCTTATAACATTTTTGACATAATTTTTTATGATCAATATATGTTTCTTTCTCACAATTGTGACAGGTACGGTAATCGACAGGTTCAAACATATTCAATAAAATTAACGTATTTTTGGTCATGTTGCACGGTAAAAAAATGCACACAAAAAAAAAAAAAAAATTAAAACTTGCAACTTTCACAGAATGTAAAAATAAATTATAATAATAAACGTCAAGCAGAAAAATATGGGATAAAAAAACGGAATGGCAAAGTGTCAACTTATAAATAATTTTTGAAGGTTATGAATTGTATATATATAATCTTCTAATTTATAAAAAAGAATTTTTAGTGTGGAAGCTTTTTAAAAGGAATCCTTATTGGAATGAGATTTCGAGATTTTATAAAAAAAATAATAATAATTAATTACATAAAAATATCTTTAAATTTTTTTACCTATTCAAACAATTCATTTTATTTATTTTATTTATACATTCCTTGCATATTTTATATAATATACAGTAATATATGTAGGTGATAAGGTGATAATATATTTTATACATGTTATATATTTAGTGATATATTTTAGACAATAATCTATTTTAGACTTAAAAAAAAATGTATGTGTTGCGTAAATAAAATATAATATTTTCGAGGCAAGAATGTTATGTGCTGTGTCACACTCGTAAGTCCAGACAAGTGAGTAATATAAATATACAATGATAGAAGTATATTCGGTCATTATGTGTATAAAAAGATAACAAATGATTAACGATTTCTGCATATTGGCTAATTAAGAAAAAGATTTTATTTGCTGTCAAATATTGTTTAACTACTGTGATTATCAATTCCATTCTAAGATTATGTGTGTAAGCCAATATAACTTTTTTTTTAGAAATATTTTATAAAAAACAATTTGAATAGGATTTAAGTTTAATTAGTTTAATTCATATTTTTATCTCTAAAAGTTCAATGATATAAAAAAGGATTAAACTAAATTTTCTTTCTTAAAAAAAAATCAGTGAAAACAATCTGATAAAATAATCTGATTTAAAATTCAAATAACTGATATTCAAATTAAATGAGAACAAATTTAAGGTTTTGTACTAACTTTGAAATAAATTGTTAGCTTGACTTATTATACAGTTCCAGCAGAAAAAACTAACATTTTTTTTTTCCGAGATTTTCGTTTGCTGCGCATTTTTTTTTTGTTACACCAGCACCAAATGTGATACGAATTGTTTATAAACATAAAAAAGACAGTAGCACATGATCACACTTAAAGAACGTATTAAGACTTTGTGGAAGAATGGAGTTTGTAAAGTCCCGGCTCTTCAAAAAATAACTGGCTTTCCTAAAAAAACACTATATAGATGGGTTAAACAACTTGAAGAAACAAATGACCTTAAACAAAAAAAGTCGCTCCGGTCGTCCAACTCATCTTACTCCTACCCAATGACACTACCTTGGTCGGATCGCAAAATCCCAAAAATTTGTAACAAGTAGTGAACTAGCGGAAACCTTACAAAAACCTACTCTGGACTCAACATTGCAGCTAGGACAGTTAGAAATAATCTCCAAAAGCTTAAGTATACCTCGTTCGGTTTCCCTACTCACCGAAGAAGCCATTAAACGTCGTATTGCTTGGGCAAAATCCCACCAAAGAAAAGGTTGGAATAGCGTTATTTTTTCCGATAAATCAACGTTTCAAATGTTTCGTAATACACCCAGGTTCGTTACAAGGATGGAGAACCAATTCCAAGTCGTCCAGTTGTAAAACATCCTTTCAAGGTTTATATATGGGGGGCATTTTGTGCAAAAGGAACTGTCGGCTTTTGCATGTTTACTGAAAATATGAATGGCGAGCTTTATAGAAAGATACTAACCAAAAATTTATTCGAGCAAGCACATCAGGTCCTTGGTAGTGCATGGATGTTCCAGCAGGACAACGATCCTAAGCACAAAGCTAAGCTTACAAAAGCTCTTCTTCAAGAACGTTGTTCGCGAATTCTTGATTGGCCATCCTATTCGCCAGATCTCAATCCGATCGAAAAATTGTGGGCAATAATGAAAAGAAAAGACGAAAAGGAGATCAATATTATGATAAGCGAAAAAAAAAATATTACACAAGATATTTTTATGTCGTTGATATCAAAAGAATGGGATTCAATTGATAAATCCCTGTGTCTTAAATTAGCAAAATCTATGGTGGGCCGTATTAAATTATTATTAGAAAATAATGGTCATACAATAAATTATTAAAATTAAATTATATTAAAATATATATCATTAGACATAACATGTAAAATTTTTAAAAAATTTAAATAAAAATTGGGCGCGGCAATCACAATAGTTTGAGTGTCAGTTTTTTCTGCCGGAACTGTATTAAATAATCAATAACAATAATTCATGAAAGAATAGTATTATGAAATAATAATATTAATAATATTATATTATGAAATGATGATTCATAAATTAATTGAAGTAATTTTATTTTTCTTGTTTGTTTTGGTTTTCTTAGTACATTAAGTATAATGCCCGCAGTTATTGTTCTATAACGATATATAAAAATAGATTGTTCATTCCATTCGATAGGTTCGATTGTCTTGAAATCAGTAGATACATTTATAAGGTAGAATTTGGAATAGAGAAATTAGAGAATTGATGTCTCCCCACAAATCAAATGCAGATTTATTATGTGGAGAAGGAACTTTAGTTAAGTATTTCAATCCACACTTTGAATGAATCTTTGAACATGCACATATCTTTGATCGAAATTGCGTGTTCAGCATATCGTTTTTGCATTGACCGAAATCAATATAATTAATAATTACGAAAATATGGGACTGATTACATACATTATGTTATCTAAATTTTTTTATAGAATTACCCTGTTAATTTTTGGTAAGCCAACATATTGTAAATATTTATCACACACGATATAATAATTAATCAGTCAATACTTCATCCAATAAATAATTACTTAATTATTTTTTATAAGAAAGACAAAAAAAATAAATTAAAATGGATAAAAATGGTCTTATTTCTTTGTTATCATTTTTTATCGACATCAGCACACATATTATGCATAGATAGTAAATATATTATATTATATATTTACTGTCAAAAGCTTCTTATGTGGATAACAATAAATATGAAGTTGAATCATTCTAAATTTCAAAAATATTTACCGTATTATACAGCTGAAATTTTTTACTGAATTTAAAATGCTGATCGTGACACAATGACTTGTATTACAATAAGTTTAAGCCGCATTTTATCAGCCACACAAAAAATCATCACAACGTCGTATATCTATTTTAATTTATTACTTAATATTATATATATATTAATAAATTAATATATATACAGTGGGGATTTATTAATAAATTTGAGGCTGGAACATAAAAAAAAAACAGTGGGGATTTATATGATGTGATTGTACAGGGGGTGACTATAGAGGAGGTCCACTGTATAATTAAATTAAAATTATTACTTAATATTATACTGTATATATATTAAATTAAAATAAAGTGAGTAGCCAAAATTTTATCAATTAAATCTAAACAATCATTATTTTCATCTTCAAATTTCTTCTAAAGATCAATTGTATGAATAAAAAAATTTAATAAAATAATAAATAAATAATAAAAATTAGAAAAAAGGGATGCAACAATGAATTTGTGTTATGGATGAAGATGGATAAAGAGCATTGTTTTTAAAGAGCATTGTTTTTACAAAAGAATAACTTCTTTATTATTATTATTTTAATTCACATTTTGATCATTGACCTATAGCCTTAAACAGTCGTGCTATAGTAAAAATTGCTGTATTCCATCTTTAGAAATTCACAGAAAAAAATCTCAGATGGTACTGTTTCTGTAAATTCAAGAATCTCAACTGAAACGTCATTGATAATGTCTTGTGATAAGAGGTTTCTGACGTTTTAAAGATTCAGATTGTGTTGAACAATGTTCTAATTTATTAACGAGATTGAGAGTAATATCTTTCTCCTTATCAGACTGACCTTCAATAGGTGATGAAATGGATAATAACACTTTAAGATCGTTTTTTTTGTCCTTTCCTGAACAAAGCTGGAGACTGCAATAAGATCATTAACAATGACTTGAGCCTGCTTCTGTTCCAATTTGATGGCTTTGTCTTTAAGCTCAGCATTCTTAAAATCAAGGTTGGTGATATCTGCTTTATTTTTCTTTTCTTTTCTAGCTCTTCGAATTCTGATCTTGAGCATAGCATTTTCTTGTTTCCATCTTGTGTTTTCAGCCTTGACTTCAGAATTCTCCTTTCCAAGTTCATCAATCTGAAGAATGAGCTTTGAATTCAATTCTCTCAACGAATTAATTGTGGATTGTGTATCTGCCATTGTTTTACATAAAACACGGTTATATTCAAAAGTTTAAAAAAATATTGGTGTGCGTTAACACGCTCTGCTTTATTGATTGTAATAAAGATCAAAAAGAATCAAATCTATCTATTATTGCCTACACTATAAGTTTTCGGTTATCTAAACTATCCACGTTAACACACTATCTACCAATACAAAACATGTGGTGTCAAAATGAATCAACAATCCCTCCAATTCGTTACACTCATTGTTGGTGAATATATATCAGTTGGTCGTTACGGTTATTTGTTATCTGGAGTTGATTTATCTTTTTTAAAACCTGCTGAAAGTCTATGTTGCCTGCCTTCCGCAATGCTAATAAATTTCTCGGAAATCTGAACCGTTAGTTTGCAAGCCCAAAAGTTGATTCATTGAAATGCACTGTCATAACGTGTTCGGAAAACCAATTTTTTTTGATCTGCTTGATCTCTATCCTTTGGAAGAAATTTTCTTCTTCTGTTGTTTCTTATAAAACAAAATTCGGCCGAAAATTCAGTCGGATAAATTGAAAGATCTCGAGCAATTACCAGATAAATTAGCAATTACCAGATAACGCAAGTTCCGACGATTCTTATAGATGAGGATAAACACATACGTAGTTTGCAACGAAGAACAGAATATGGAGAATCACAGATATCTGCATGTGCCTTCACCAATTTTGACAAAATTGATATTATTTTCTTTATGATCTTTATTACATGCCGGACATATTTTTTGGACAATCACCATATTTATCACTATGTTTGAAAGATAAATAAGGGAATCGCTCCAATACTTCGTTTTTTTTTTATGAATTATTGAATAAGGTAAAAAAATTATATACAAGTCCGTATTATACATAATAATATTTATATCCAATACCGTCGAAATTCAAAAAAATAAAAATAAAAATATAAATTAATAAAAATAAATAATTAATAATAATAATATTAATAAATAAAATAAATTTTTTAAAAAATATATCACATGATCTTGTAGTAATTCATCAAATACAATCTTATGTTTCTAAATTATTTGCTTGATTGGAAATTATTATTAGAGAATTGATCTATAGAAATATATATATATATATATATATAACAGTTGCTCGTTGACTAAATCCTAAATCAGAAATAACCGATTCAAAATCATTCGTGATAATAATTTTCTTATCGTGAAGTAATTTAATTCAAATAATAATATCACGAAATAAACGCCTTTTTTTTTCATGTAACTTTTTTGAAATTTTACGTAAAAATGATATAAATTTCCATTTGGTGCTGTCTAGAAAATATGTATGCTCTTACTATTGTATTAACACATAGTTTCATGCGTTCATACATGCGTTCGTAACTTGTAAATGAGTAATAAAACGCAATCATTAAGTAAAATTATATAAATTTATCCAAGAGAAGGTAGTCCCAACTTTCTGCAAACATCGTTACATCTATGATTTTCCAAAAAAATTTATTGATTCCATTTCTGCCTAAATTAGTCTTTCCAAATCTTAAGGGATTAATACAATGTATCACTGGATCAGTTAATAAGAACCGATCAGATGACTCAATTCCTTGAAGGTCAGAAACAACTAAATATCCATCCGTATGTTCATATGTATAATGTACAAATGCTTCAAGAACAGGTCGAAATTTTACAATAACTCCAGAATTTACATTAAACCGTTGAAACTCGGCACCTTGAAGTTCCGGTTCTGTAATATAATAACGAGTCCTACCATCAAATGTAGCACGTACTAGATTCACTCTAAGGAAATTTACAGAAGAAATACCTTTTCCTCTTGCTTCCATATTAAATTTTATACTAAAATAACTTGTTAAAGCGGAAATCTCCGCGGACTCGAGATACTTTTCAAATAGATTCTCTGTTCCATCTCTCAAGTATCCTTTCATCACCATTCGCCTGGGTGGATTATATTTTGTGCTAATAGCATAATAAGCATATTTTTCAACTCCAGCAGCAAATGGTTGTTCTGCAATCTTGAAATGATAAGATTTAGAGAGAAGGTTCTTTTTTTCATAAAATGTTTCATCTTTAAGTTCGTCTACATCTTGAGGAATATAATAACATAAAGTTACACCTTTTCGATCTGTAAGAGTGTCCCAATCAGGAATATCTTTGTTAATTTCAATTATTCGTTGTGATAAATTCCTTCTAGTTCCAATAGTGCTGGTTAATGAAACAGACGTAGTAATAGATGATGTAGTAGCTGCGACAAATTTATTAATTAATTCAATTGGATCTCCTCCTACAAGTTCAAATATTAAAAATTCACCAATTATACTACGAAATACTTCAATCATAGTATCTGTATAATTTTGTAATTTTTCCAAAAAAGTAAAAAATATTTTCAGATTGCATTTCTTGTAATACACTTTCTGCTGTCAACCCATTTGGATCGCCACCTGGATATTCATCTTGCATGGTAGTAAAACGTTTGCCATGAGGTGGATAATCACCAATATGGAAAAGGATTTTAGTACCATCATTCCAAGACATTTGATTTATGGCTGCATAAAGACCTCCAAGAACATCTTCTGGACCATCACCACCACCATTAGCTGGTACTGAAGCTAAATTTGTTCTGAATTCTTCATACGAATTTGTAAAATCAAAAATTTGCAGGCGGGAATTATCACAATGATCGCGATAGCCACAAAAACCAACTTTAATTTTAATGCTTGGATTCGTACTTTTAATATATTCTGTCACTTGCAAAATACAATCTTTGGCCGCTGCGATATGTTTCGCCATAGAACCTAAATAAGTTTGATGATAATAGAGGTCAAGAATGAATCTAAAATAGAAATTAAAGCAAATAATGCAAAAGATACAAACCAGTACAGTCTAAAACGTAACAAAGATCAACATCCATTGAACATTCAATGTTAGCAAGTGTCTTGAGTATAGCCCTTTCTCTTTTTCTTATAACTTCTCTCTTTTTTATAGCTTCTCTCTTTCATCTCCATAGCGGTTAATACGCTCTTCTCCGATATTCAATTCATCAAAATCATTTAAAAAGGACGGGGTTAATGAGGAGGTGTTAGACTCTGTTTCGTCATCATTTATAAACCTACTAATATCATTTTCAGAAAGTTCCGAACTAATTTCAGCAGTTTCTCTATATTCAGTGTTAGACATTTTTTTTCAAAAGAAAAGGGAATAGTATTTGTAAATATTAAAACACGTAAATCTGATTTATCCTGTTTGATTATTCAAATCAGCCTGCAATTGTATGCTTGACAGTAAAATCAATGAGTGTCTTTGTGATTAAAAAATTGAGGTAGAATTAGAGGTATAGATATTGTATTCTAAAGAAAAATATTACGAGATTTATCAAATTTATGGAATTTATTTAGAATTCACGTTCTTATATGTACGGACGGAATCAGGCGCAAATTTTCATAAACACTAATTCATAAAATTTTTCTCGAAAGTTTAATAGCACGGAGTTTCTTCTCCGTGTTAGAATTATAGAAATCACCGCAATTCGAAAAGAGTAATTTAACAAAGAAATTGATAAGTAAATATATTAAATTTCTTGCAGACCTGTGATTGTTTCCGTATTCGTGCAGATAATGGTGTAAAAAACAAGTTTCTAACTAGATAAAAACTGGAATTCCCACACAAACTGGATGATTAATTTTAACATGGTTAAATTATTTTTTAATTGGAAATTTTCCCATTGTTCTCTACTATTACACTAACTCACAACTAGTGTCAGTATTCCCAATGATTGTTTGCATGACATGAGTTATGAGTAGCGTAATATAAACTTCATTTCCTGGTATTAATAATAATTTTCGCATATATTTAGGTGGATAATACTTTGCAAATTGTATCCGGGCCTTTGGTGTTTTATATTATTGACACTTTAATCATATTTGCTTAACATATCGCGTGTTGAGTATATGGCGTTTTTAAGTATGTAAATACATGATTTTATTACATGATTTTATTAAGGTTTTTTTGTTCATCGGTTATAATTAGTTGAAAAAATAAACAGTACATTCATAAATAAAAACTCGATACGAATGTTTTTTATTTTAATAATTAGTTTACACATTTTTGCCACAAAGTAGCTGCGAAGCAATAATCTATATCCCAAAATAAAGTTATAAAATTCCGGTTGATTAGCTTTAGTTTTTTTTAGGTCCCCAACACCATTTTATAATTATTCTTGTTGCTTCTGCTTTTACTTTAGCATACTCAGCTTTGCATTCAGACTCTAATACCCACAGTTTTCCCACCAGTTTTTCCAATGAAATGTCTAATTTAATTTTTTTAGCTTCTAAATAATTTCAGGAGATATTCCGTGAATAAATATTTCTCTGATCTGTTTTTTATTACTGCTAATATTTGCCTTTATTTTCATGTAAAAATCCATTATTGAATCATTACCTTGTTTTTGAATTTCAGCCATACCTGTGAATTTTGAATTAGATCTTTGTTATAGTAGAAAAACAAAATGTTATAAATATCTATCTTGCACTAATTTATACTATACTATACTTTTATTTTGATTCATATTATTTCTGTCATATTTTATTTTACTTTTATTATTTAATAAAATATAAATTAATAAAAAATAATTAATAATAATAACAATAATAATAATAATAATAAAATGACTAAAATAAAATTCTAAAAATATATATTACTTTGACCTTCATGTAGTAATTCATCTAATAAATTCTGATGTTTCTAAATATCACGAAATAAATCTATCTTTTTTTTTCCACGTACACTCCCCTAGCAAAAGTATTTGTGGAATGAAAATAATTGCTAAAATTAAAATGTTAATTGTGGCACAATGAGTAATCTAAATTGCACAAACTTTTTTTATTGGATTCCCCTAAACTAGGGCTATCATATGATATATTTTGTAATAAAATTAAACATCTATACATAGAGATATTATGCTTCAAATGAAACTGACAAAAAATGATAAATTTATTCTTAGATCGATACCTATACCGCATCCGATAGGTATTAAAGATAGATGCAAACTATCTTATATGAAATTGTAACCAAAAATAATATCTACAACTTTAGTTATTAACGTTTTCTCGGTACCTAATAAAAATTTTGACTTCACTTAGACGTGAATAATAACGACCGAAATTTTAAATAAATAAAAAGAATTCGAAAATAATTATATCGATCGTTTATACCCGAAAAACTTGATTATTTATTAACTTGACGATAAATGTGGTATTAAGTCACCTTAAAGCCAGAAATATGGAGCATCTTTTGTAAAATTTTCAGCCTTATATATTGAGAATTGAGAGAACAATACACGATTAAACTTTAGAGTATAATTTTGAAATATCCGATATTCAAACGTTAAAATTAAACTCAATTCTCAATTTAAAATCTGAAATTTTCACAGTAAATACTCCGCCTTTTAAGCTTTAACTGTAATTAGTATCATTTTTATTGTTATAATAATAGACAAAGAAGTTTTTATTTTTCGGATTTTTTTTTTAATTTTTTAAAAATGATCGACACGGATTTACTACATTAAAAATTCGAAAATAATTACAAAACTTTTATTTTAATAATAAAATAGTAAAAGTTAAACTAAGTAACATTAAAGATAAAAATTGAATACATCTTCTGTAAAAGTTTTAAAATTTTTTAACAAAAATTAAAAATATAACGATCGTTTGAATTTTAAAGAATTTTTTAAATCCGTGTTGATCATTTTTAAAAAATTAAAAAAAAAATCCGAAAAATAATTACCAATGGGACCATATATAAGAACTTCTTTATCTATTAATATAACAATAAAAATGGTACTAATTACAGTTAAAGTTCAAAATATGGAGTATCTACTGTGAAAATTTCAGATATTTAAATTGAGAATTGAGTTTAATAATAATGGTTAAATATTGACATTTCAAAATTATACTATAAAGTTTGATCGTGTATTTTTCTCTCAATTCTTAATATATAAGGCTGAACTTTTTACAAAAGATGCTCCATATTTTAGGCTTTAAGGTTACTTAATATTACATTTATCATTAAGTTAATAAATAATCATGTTTTTCAGGTATTTACAATCGATATAATTATTTTTGAATTTTTTTTATTTTTTAAATTTTATTAAATTTCAGTCATTTTTGTTCACGTCTATTTGAAGTAAATTTTTTATTAGGTATCAAGAAAAACGTCAATAATTAAAATTGTAGATATTATTTTTAACTACAACCACATATAAGATAGTTATTATCTATCTTTAATACCCATTGAATGCGATATAGGTAACTATCTAAGAATAAATTTATCATTTTTTATCAGTTTCATTTTAAGTGTAATATCTCTATGAATAGGTGTTCGATTTTATCACAAAATATATCATATGATAGCTCTAGTTTAGGGAAATTTAATAAAAAAAGTTTATACAATTTAGATCACTCATTGTGCCACAATTAGTATTTAAATTTTAGCAATTATTTTCGAATTTTATCATTCCACAAATACTTTTGCTAGGGGAGTGTAATTACCAATCGGAACCATATATATAAACTTCTTTATTTATTAATATAACAATAAAAATGATACTAATTACAGTTAAAGTTTAAAATATGAAATTTTTAAATTGAGAATTGAGTTTAGAGTATAATTTTAAAACGTCTGCCATTCAACTGTTAATATTAATATTAAAGTTTAATCGTGTATTGTTCTCTCAATTCTCAATATATAAGGCTGAAATTTTTACAAAAGATGTTCCATATCTTAGGCTTTAAGATGACTTAATACCACATTTATTGTTAAGTTAATAAATAATCATATTTTCAGGTATAAACGATCAATATAATTATTTTCAATTTTTTTTTATTTTTTTTAAATTTTATTAAATTTCAGTTGTTTTTATTCACATCTAAGTGAAGTTAAATTTTATTAGGAACTGAGAAAAACGTCAATAATTAAATTTTAGATATTATTTTTAGCTACAATTTTTGTATAGTACTCATCTTTAATACCCATTGAATATAGTATAGGTAACGATCTAAAATAAATTTATTATTTTTGTCAGTTTCATTTTAAGTATATTGAGGTGGCACGAATGCCACAGGGAATGCTGTACGAGGATTGCGGAAGGTTACGAAGGTCACAAGGGAGAATAGAAAGATGATAGTGACACCTGGATGAGTGTGCTACCATCGTCATCTTTTACATCTTTGTGTATCATCTTTTTCATCTTTGTGTATTATCTTTTTCATCTTTGTGTGTCATCCTTTTCATCTCTATGTGCCATCCTCGAGAAAAAGGGGAAAACGTGTTTAGACGTGACAACAAAGAAAAAGGAAAACAAAATCGGAAAGGCATAAAATAACCAGTGGATAAAGGATGGAAAAGGACGGATTCTTTTGGCAAGTTTCGGGAGTTTAACATTTATTTTTTATCACTTTACTTCTCTATTATGTTTTATTCTTTTATTTTCATATTTTCTTCCTTTCTTTTGCAATTATTACAATAATTACAATAACTAAATAACTACAATAATCTTGATCATAGATAAAATTAGTAATAGTCATAGAGACAGTCAACAGCCTGTAATATTTCTATTGCTAAGTTCTGTAATAAATTCCAATAAACTGTTGTTTCACAAATAAAGTTACTGCGTAAAGATATTTTTACTCCACTTGCTCACGCACTTTCAGGTTGCACTTGTGTCATTTATTGAGTTGCTGAAAATTGTTATTCGCTGTGTTAGGCAAGTGGCGGCTTGACCCTAACAGTGAATAGAGAGGAACTTCGAAGTATTACGTACGACACGAGGGAATCGTAAGTACGTTGGGTTATACAGTTGTGGTGCAACGAGAGCTTGAAATTAGTGAGACTGATTGACATAGCTTTACATATTGTTCTGTGCCAACTGCGACAATATGTATTTTATCACAAAATATATCATATGATACTTAGTTTAGGGGAATCTAATAAAAAAAAGTTTGTACAATTTAGATCACTCATTGTGCCACAATTAACATTTTATTTTTAGTAATTATTTTCAAATTTTATCATTCCACAAATACTTTTGCTAGGGTAGGTAAAGGTGAGATTGTAGAAAGCGAAGTAGGCTCTTGGGTGAATGTAATTACATGACCTTTTAGTTTGTGATGTGTATGTCTCCGATTAGTAATTTGAATAAGATTTATACAAATATAACCTGTGGATATTAAAGCTGTTTTGGTACTGATAACCCTTGAGAAAATTATGGGTTGTTCCAATCTGCATATTTGCGACTGAAAACATCAGAGCTGACTACATTTAATGATCACTTACAATTGTCACATACTTGAAGATCGAAGGGATTTTTGTTCTCATCATTTTCATTTGCATTAAACAAATCCATTTCTATCTAACAAAATTTTATGGCCACTTCAATTTATACGTGGGTGTCCATATAAAAAGTCTATTTCAAAAAATGACTTTTCAAAATATTTGTTAAGTTCAAGTAACGATAAGTGTATATCTTCTATAGAAACAGTAGTTAAATGTTCATGCAAATATAAACCAGAACAAAATGCACAAGGTATTCTCCAAGCGAATCAAAATAAATACTTTCACGAAATTCTGCCAATACATTATTCGAACAGATTTGTTGATCGGTTGTGGCCAATTTGCGTACTGTTCCTTCAATAAATCGAATTCATCATTAATTTCTAAAACACATAACGAAACATGCTCATCAATTGTTCGAATGTCTTTCTCAATACAAATTTTTCATCTTTTAGCATGCTGAATTTCATGCCATTTACGTTGCTGCTCTCGTTCACATTGATGGTAACAAGCATCTGTTCTTCTAACAGCTTTCTGCTGTTTACTTTTTGACTTATAAATTTCAGAAATTACAGCATCACTCTTCATACAATCAAACATTAGTATTTTTTATTTGACGATTTGAAGCTCCAAAAGTTATATTTACATTGTAAACATCAATCATCATCTCGCGAAATTACAAAATCAATGATTCGTACATAGATTGGTAAAGAACTAATTTTATTTTTTTATAAACAAGAATGTGATCGTGCTGATATAACTATATAATCGAAAATTAATTTTTTTTTCCATAAACAAGAATTTATTACAAATAAATAATCATATTCAAGAATTTGGTATAAATAAATAATTATATATTCGAAAATAATTTTATTTTTTTCATAAACTAGAATTATTACAAATAAATATATATTCAAAAATAAAAATGTTAATTGTATATTCGAAAACAGAAAATATATATTGACTACATAACCAAAAATGCACATTAATTACATAGTAATTTAAATTTAAGAAAATATACATTAATATTATCAAATGATTTACACACATTTTGCAATAAAATTATAGTTACTTAATTGATAATTTCTACTAAAAAAAATAATCAACAAAAATTAACACAAAAAAAAACTATAATTCTCTAAATAAATGAAAATTATAACAAAGGATATTGTAAAAAAAAGTGTCAAGCGACATCAAAAAAGTCGAATTCATCCATCCCTTCCCATTTCATGTTACACGTGAATGTAATCGTACTGGTATGATAACATTAGGGTTGACTTTGATTGAATCCTTGCTAAAGATGTAATTTCTATGTTGTTTAATGATGTAGCTCTACTTAAGGCTACATATGCTTGTCTATTTGCAAATATTATTTTGCCTAGAGATTCTGTTATGTGAGAAAGTATCAGCCCTTGAGTTTTGTGTACTGTTAGTGCAAATGTATTTTGTAGTAGGAATTGATAACAATGTGAAGGAATTCCATTTGCTCTAAAATAACTAGTTTCTTTTACTATTATTACATTGGCAATACCTGTTTTTAATGAAAATTCTACTTGGATTGTATCATTATCGATAACTTTTAAGATTACGCCTATGGAACCATTAAGTAATCCCTTATTATATAATGAATTATAAAGAAAAATTACCTTCATGCCCTCCTTAAGAATTATTTTTGTTTATAATATAAAATGATATAATTATTAGTAATCTCAACACAATCATTATTACAAACTTAATATACTATGTTCATATTTAGAAATATAACATTTTATAATTAGTAATTTATTTTTAATATTTTTTGTTAACACCTTTTTAGTTAGCAAAAAACTTACATAAAAAATTAATAATTATTTTTTTTTATTTGAGAAGTCTTTTATTGATTAACTGTTTTATATTGTAATTTGTCATTTATAATATAAACTTTCTTTCATATATTGTGGCGAAGTAATTTCATAAGCATGCGGATTATCATGGGAAATGATAAATGGTAACACTAAGATGATTGTACGGGGATAATAACTTGTGTTGCCATCCAAGAGATAACATACGAGGATGAAAGATGAAGTACAAGGTTGAAGGATGAAGTACGAGGTTGAAAGATGAAGTACAAGGGTGAAGGATGAAGTACAAAGGGTGATGGGTAAAATTTAAATGAAGGTGAGAAAGTATAAAATAAGTAGTTACTAAAGACAAGAAATTGTAGTCTTAGTAGTTTCTTAATCTTCAGTTAATTAATAATTAGATAGTTTCAAATATTAATATTATTAGATAAAAAAGTAAACTTCATTTAGGGACAGTGAAATAGATACGTAACCTGTGCATTTCTGTTGTTAAATGATACTTTACTTTTAAAATTTGTATCTTTTATATTTTAATAAACTTACCTTTTGTGTTGTGATATTGCAAAATATTGTTAAATATTATTTGATACTGTTTTAACACTTTTACTCCACCTTACTCACTGAGCCTCTGGATTAAAAATAAAGAATTAAAAAGAATTAAAAAGAATTATATTATATTTATTATCTGTTTTGAGATAGGCAAGTTTAGATCGACAGATTGTTTGATCTACTAGCAGATAGAGTGTATTATTACAAATTTGATATAAGTAATCACATGTGTTCTAATTTGGAAATAGAGAATTTTATAATGTAATTTTTTTGTAATTATTTTATTAACACCTTTAGCAAAAGATTTTACATAAGAAATTAAATTTATTTAATTAGAAATAAATTATTATTATAATTACTTATTATATTTATAAGATGTATTAGTAAATATTATTGTATAAAGAAATTAGTAAATAAATCATAAGCAATGTATGTATAATTAAATATATTTTTATAATAAAATAAACCTATAAATCCATTAATATTTTATCTCAAAAAATTCTCATTTGTGAATCCATGTAATGGTAGAGGTTAAAGTTACAAAGTACACCTTTTACATTATTCTTGGATAATACATATGCCAAAAAAGAAATTTCAATCAAAAATCAATCATGAGTTTATATCATGTCTAAAAGTTCCAAGATGTAATTAGACTATGATATATGAATGATTCAATAAAAAAATTATAAAAACTTTTTAACAATGACCTAACCCAATTGAAATGAACTTGCATCATATTTGAGAAAAAAAAATAAAATCTTAAAAATTTAAGAAATTGGTCACATATAGAAAGTGATTTTTTGCAAAAATTAGCAAATAGTATGGAAACATAGTGAAGGTAATAATAAATCTCATGGCTATCCTATTAATTTTTATATTTAAATTTATTTTGAAAATAACTAAATTAAAAAATTTTGAAAATTTTGAGTTAAAATTTTTTTATTTATTTACAAATAGCATGAAATTTCAATAATAATAAAAAATTCATTTTTTGTCACATAAATTTTTTTTTAATAATTTTAAAAAAAAATATTGATTAAATTTTATTAAAAAATCACCAAAAAGATAGTGTTAGAAGTCTTTTTTATTATTTTTTTCTTTAATTTTATAATTCTTTCTTATCATGTGTATTTTATTATTTTTAGTATTTATTTATTGTTACTAGTTTTAGAATTAATCTATATATGTTTAGTTCTATTTCTATTTTTATAGTTAATATTTAGAGGATAGGCTGATTGAGGATCAAAAGGACCTCCAGACCCTAAGTTATGTCTTGATCATCTTGGACTCCAGTTGAGGTCTGCACCCCAGGTGAGGTCTGTTTATCCTTAGAACTTGGAGTAGGCATTAAGACCCAAGTGAGGTTCTTAGACCCCATTATAGAAATATATATAAAGACAAGAGAAATTACCTTGTCCAATTCAGTTTGTAAAGTTCATACAATTCCTATTTCATTTATTTTACTAAAAATAACAATTACTTTATACTTTTGTCTTAAAGAATTGCTTAAATAACCAAAGGAACACTATAACCCAAACTCACCTTTTACTCTTTTATTTTGATATATTGATTTTTAATTTTTTTTTAGTTTATAGTTATAGTTATTTTATTCTTGATTTGATTATTGATTTAGCTATATTATTTGATTGATTAATTTTAGTTATTGATTAATGATATCTGTTGGTTAATTATTTAGACATTATTCTTGTTTAATTGAATTCTTTCTAAATTTTATATTTTATCTTTAATATTTATGATCATTCACATAATTTAACTAACACAAGTTAACTACAAACCTAAACCAACATATATTAGCAAAGCTTACTCTCCCGGGTAGTAACAATAGTCAACATTAACTTATTCTGAAAATATATTGAATATATTTTTTTTAAATATAAATAGTATTTTTTTTTCAAAGTTTAAAGCGAGCACTCTTGAAAAGGAACTTTATTAATTTAAATTACATCATCGGCATACAATATTAATTTATATTTATTACTAAGACTAATATGGGAAAATAATTACACTGATAATACTATTTAAGTGTACCCTTTCAAGAAATATTAAAAGTATAAACGGACAAATATTATTAAATAAAATTGCAATAAAATAATTGGATGACAAAATAATCACGATTTTTGCAATTTATCAGGAGGACCCAGAGGTCGTATCGAAAATGTAGTTAGTTTGGGGAGGGCAATTACAATAAGCTCTTTTTTCTACAGAATATTGGGGACAATATCTATGCATGCAAGCAATTCTTTTTTTTTCAGAACGTTTTTGAGCTGATGCTGGGTCAAGTTTAATGATTGGGCTAACAATAATAATAATTATAATAATAGTAAGAACTATAATAATAAAATAATAATAAAAATAATAATAATAATGATAAATCGACGAAAAAATATTTACCGCGGTCTAGTCCTAGAAATAGAAGTCGTCGTCAGCTGATCGATTGCATCATTGACATTGAACAAAGAAACGATCAAAAAGAAAAGAAAAATGAATTTAAATGCTTCCATTTCTTTAAATATTATTAAATAATTTTTAATGCTAAGAGTTGAAAGTAAAAAATAAAAGAATGAGAATGACAGTGAAACTGTGAGAGAATGATGATTATGAAATTAAAGACGAATATATTATGGATGTAATATTATTAAGGGGATTCTGATTATTTTCAGGGCAAGGACAACAGGACAAGAGAAAAGATTGTATTTATATTATTTGAAAAATTTTTGATATTTCCTTAAAATCATATTATAAGTGGTAAATTTTTTTTTTTAAGAAATCAAAGTATTTCTTGTGAAACAATGTAAAAAATATTAATTAATTAACCAATCGTAATCTTAATGAGAATATTATGTTTTCTGAATCTACAAATTAAGTTAACAATGATTATACTATCAGCTGTTAATATTACCATAATGTTGAGTATTATTTAATGCATTGTAATAACATCACTTTTATTCAAATAATAACATTTTTTGATATTTTAAGCCCCAATAATAATAAAGCGATAAAGAGATCAGCATCAGAAATTAAAGATGCATATAGTTAATTAATTTTCCTTTTTAGGTTAAGATTCCAATTTCAAAGTTAATTTATTAATATTTTATAAATGTTCATTTTAGTAATGAAAACAAAAAAAATAAAGCGGCAGTCTGAGAAAATTTATTTTCGACTATAAAGAAGAGGCAAGGAAAGACAGGTATAACTGCAGTATAAGCAGCTTGAAGAACATCTACATATGCTTGAATTATACGTTGCTGTATATCTGGTGAAATTCGCGTACGCGTACTAAGAATGCAGATTTCATCAATACATCAACATTTATTTCAGGTGACAAAGGATCTTCTGGTTTACCTATATTATTATTTAATAAAATAGGTTCTAAAACTGCTACTCCAAAAATTGCAACCAACTTTTTTTTTAAAAAAAGAAAACAAGACAAGATTAAATTATTATTAATGTTACACTTTAATAATTCTTAAAAATAAATAAAATAAAATAATAAACAATAATAATCATAATATTATTATTATTATAAACTCACTTGTTCTAAAGAAATTTGATAAGACTTGATGTAACAGCAACATCATCATATGGTATAAGTGCTTGAAAAAATAATACAGTTGTTTGACATAATTAATCCCATACCAATATCAAGTATTAAAGTATATATAATTTGTTCACCATGATTAGAATATTCATCTAAGAGAGTACATAATTCTGCTCCAATTGCAATTAAAAACTCCACCTGCTATACAATACATTTGATATGATATTTTTATAGTAATCGATAATGCAAATCCAACGAACAGTATTGCAAAAATCGAGACCGGATTTAGTGGAGTGGCTTTTGATTAAATAATAATAATTATTATTAACATATGATTAACATATCATTATTCATATTATTATTAATTATTGACAAATTATTAACATTAAATTCAATTTTCTTTACCTGATTCTCCTTCAACTTGGAATAAAAAATATCATGGCTATAATATAATCTAAATAAATGAAATCGATTTTTGATTTTAAAATTATAATAATAATTTTTTATAATAATGAATTAAATTTCTATAAATGATAGGGGCTCCTTGAAAAAATATAACTATAAACAACTATTGACTGTTAGATTACGAAAAATGTGTGCTTAAAATAAAGAATTAATTAATTAATTTTTGTTTACTTTTCGATTATAGATAAATTAAAGAAATCAGAAATGTAGAACAAATACTCACATGGTGCTATTGGTTCAACAACAATGAATATTTTAACTAATGTAAATACCGAAAATAACATACCGTCACCCCTAAAAGAATTAAAACAGTTACAATGGTCCAAGAATATTCATTTTCTCCCAATTCAAAGCTAAAAAAACAATAATAATTGTAATTCTTCTTTAATAATTGGTAAAATTTATTTATAATTAATTAAATTAAAAATAATTACCTAATAATAACGAAATAATAGCTAACACAATTAAGAAAGTTGCAACAAATCAATTCGTGTTAATTTATTAAGGAAAGTTCCTTTGGTTTTAGGTACACTCCCCTGCCAAAAGTATGAAAATTTTTAAAGAATTACAAAATTAAAATGCTAATTATGATCCAACAGGTTATCTAAATTGCACAAACTTTTTTTTATTGGATTCCTCTAAACTAGAGATATTGTATTGTAGAATTTGTATTAAAATTGAATTCCTATGCATAGATAGAGAAATTATGCTTTAAATAAAATTGACAAAAATTTAAAATTTAATCTTTGAACTTTACCATACTGGACTCGATTGATATTAAGGATAAATGACAACGATCTTAAATCAAATTGTAGACAGAAACAATATCTATAACTTTTATTAGAATACTTTTTCGCGGTATTTACTGAAAATTTTAGCTTTACTTAGACGTGAATAAAAACGACCGAAATTTAATAAAAATAAAGATTGAAATAAAAAAATCAAAAAACCTTTATCGATCATTTTACCTATAAAATTTTTTTATTTATTAATTAATTTAACAATAAAAGTGGTACTAAGTAACCTTAAAGCTTGATATATAGTGCATCTTTTATAAAAATTTCAGTCCTATCTATTGATAATTAAGGGAATAATTCACGATTAAATTTCAGAGAAAAATTTTAAACGTCTGAAATTCAACCGCTAATATTAAGCTCAATTCTCATTTTAAAATCTGAAACTTTCCAGTAGATTCTCTATATATTAGACTTTAGCTTCACTTAGTACTGTTTTTATTGTTATATTTATAGATGAAGAAGTTTATATACGGATACGATTGGTAATTATTTTTCTCCTTCTACCAATGGACCAACAAGCGAAGCGAATCCAAAACTCAAAATATTTTTTGGTAATACAATATATTTATCTGTTTCACATATTTCATCGATTTTATCATATACTTACAACTCCAATCAGACTTTGATATTTCCCATGCTCTTGAAAATTAATAAATTAATAAATTAAAAAAAACTAAATATTACTTTTGATCATGAACTCTATCACAAGATTATACATGATAATAATAATCAGACTGAAATAGCGAAAAAAAAAAAATAGAATAAAATTATTATGAATTAGAATTAATTATTTGAATATTCAAAATAACTTTTTTTAAAAAATACACATACCTAAGAATTCCTCTTCCACCAAAACCACTTACAGCTGGCATATGATTAAAGATGTTTACCGTATATCTGATATTACAAGTTAAATCATGTAATTAAACGTGAACCTTAGTATGAATGAACTAATCATATTTTGGAAAATAGAGCACAAAAAAATCCAATTTGAAATATCACAAGAATGTTAGAAAGTTTTGCAAAAGTTAGAGTGATATGATTTCTAATTATTATTATATTTAAAAAAAAATAATTACTTAATTTTAGAATTCCAATAAATTGAAAATATTTTTTGATTTAATTTCACTCACTTCTGTTAACGTTTATGACGTGGCAACCCAAACGATCCGATCTAAAGAGTAAAAATAATTTGCAATACTCAATCTGATAAAAATTTTTTCAAAGAATTAGTTTTTAACTTTATTCATCAATCAAGTTTTAATTCACGTACAGTGAAGTAGCCACTAACATTTGATCCAATGAAGACGATTGAGAGACTAAAAAGAAAAATTTAATCAAACAAAAGAGCAGCATTTTTTTTTCGGAAAATAAATGGAAATTACATTAAATGTTTCACATAGAATATATCTCATATCGTTTCAATTCAGCTTTTGAATTATTTTCAATAATTTGTGCTTCGGAATCATCAGAAATGCTTTTAGCACTTATAGAATTTGTTTTATTCATGTTAATTGTATATTTAGGATATTCCGGCAATTTTTCTTCAGAGGAACTCATTTAGTTATTATTATAATAACTAATTTTTATTGATACGAAAGAAAAAAGAATAATGAACTCATTTTAGAGAAATAACTTTTTATTTTCTTTATATAATTTTTGCGTATAATTTTTTCTCTTTGCATTTTTATAATTGTTATTATTATAAATTAAACCCTTATATGGGTATATATACGTTTATGAATAACCAAAAATGATTTGCTAGACATCTAAACTTCTTTAGTTAGGATAATTAGGAGGAAGAAACAATACAAAAAATAGATGCAGATTTTATGGAATATTTATGCATAGGTGATCATTATGTAGTCAATAAAGTGAACCGTAAAATTTATAATATAAAAAAGATGCAAATATAATGTACAAATTTCTGGAAAACGTTTAATTGAAATTTGAAGGGCATTTATTTTTATAGGGTAAGTGTGGAAATTTTAGCATTCTTCATTAAATTTCAGAATTGGGAACATATATAAATAATTCTTTTATCTTCTTTGTGATAAAAGGGTTCTAAGGATTCTTAGATAATTATCATTAAAAAGCATAAATATGAAAAGACCTCATCTAATAAAAATCTAAGATCATTTATTTGCTTATTTTTTATGTGAAAAATGGAGGTTATAATTCGTGCATTTTAACTTATAATAACATAAATTGGATTTTTTCGCGCCTGCGACATGTGATGAATAAAATTCTTTAGAGCTAGAATTCACTCATAATTAATATTATTTAAATATGTAAATTAATAAATCACCATTTGTAGATTTAACATATAGTTTTGGGGAAAAAAAGAAATGCTTTTTCATTTTATTTTTTTTTTCACAGAATAAAATAAAACTTTGATCATGCAATTTTTTGGAAAGTCATGATGCAAAGGGTTTTTGCTTATCTATTATTTTTATAATAATAAAATCCGTTTAAATAACTTTTTATAGATAACTTCTTTTATTAATACACTTAAAAATAAATTTTTATTAATTATCATAAAAAGTCTTTGGTCAAAAAATTTATTAAACCTTTTCCTGATGAGGTATAGTATATTTTCGATAAAGTAATAAAGTTTCTTTATAATGTTTAAAAATGAAAGTAAATCATTTTCTCACAGTATTTACATAATCTGTCTTAAAAGTACCTTTGCAAGCTTAAGTTATCTTTTTCTTCTCATAAAAATACATATATTTTATTGGAAATAAAGTAGATTTGTCATTACATTTAAAGATCTGAAATTTTGTCTATTTAAATAAAGAAAAAATAATAGTCAATATTGATAAAGCACATGGTAATCTATAAACTTTCAATTTGTAAGAATCATGTGTTAGAATTTTTTAAAGGTTGACTATAAGAAAGAATCCCGATTGGAATTTTTTTCTGTGATTTACGTTTGACGTGCGCCATGACTGATATTATTAAATAAAAGCCTTTACACCAGATTAAATACCTTCACCACACGCATAGCAAGTATCTGAAAACATATAAAAGATTTTCGGGAGCATTCCATTTCATTTTTTTTTTGTGCTTGAAAATCTCATGAATTTATTGGAATTTAGTGCTATGGATCCAGTTTTTCACATAATCAAAAATTGTATGATTAGTTTAATTTAAATATTTATTTTAATTTATGCAGCCACTGAAAATATAGACCGTGGTGGTACATTATTACGGGACGTGACATTAGAATTAGATTTTTATTAGGAGAGGTGTTTTCTTTTCATATCTATGAAATCCTTACAACTCTCTTTTTTCATGAAGTCGATAAATGAAGTTCTATAGATGTTTTTGCGTTGATCTAACCTGAAATATTAACAAAGCAATTGTCAAAGTACTAGAATTCCTATTCTTATACTTACATACTTTATATAAATTTCAAGCAATTTTAATTTAGCATATACAAGAATAGTCATTTAATTCTCTGTAATAATAAATTAAAATAAATTAATAAATAAATTATAAATAAGTTATTTATTTTATATATATTTTTACCGCGTTTTGTAATGTTATAAACTTAAGGATGTTATCATTAATTTGTTTTTTTTGACTAAATAAATAGTAAAAAAAAAAACTAAAAAGACTAAAAATAACAAATAATTTATTCTAGTATAAAAATTATTCAAAGCAAATTTTTAGAGAAATACATTTAAGAGTCACAACTTTTGCTACTTTTGCTACTGTTTTTTCTTGCCTGAGAAAATAATTTATTTTAATATGGACTTTATAATCCTAAACATTTTTAATAATATACTAATTAGGAAAATAACCTCAACCGTTCTTTTTTTGCCTCAAACTTTATTACGAAATTTTGACACAAAAAATGAACAAAAGAATTTTTTATATCTTTAATTAATTATTAAAATCTCCCATGAAATCACCAAGTTCCAGAATTTGTCTAATTCAAGAATACTTGATTATATTCTTATTAGTTGAGATGATATTATAATTTATAATGATAATTATAATTATCTAAAAATTCTTAGAACGCTTTTGTCACAAGATAAAAGAAATTATTAATAAAATTTTATGGTATTGACCTAATCTGTAATTTTAAAAAATATCTTATATTTAAAACTCAAACACATTTATATGAATTTCAAGCAATTTCAATTTTTAAATTTATTGTCAAGAAATATATTTTATTAATATAAATAAATCGAAAACCTATACAGTATTATGTTCGATAAAATTATAAAAAAAGATTTAAAAACTCAAAAAATTTTATGTTAACTACCTTTTAGCTTCTAACAAAAAATGTTCAACATAAATTTGAGCACATAATATTATGTAAATAGAAGTTTTAAACCATAAAACGTCCTGACACCTACCGACATCTAACCCATCCTTTAAACCTCAACCTGTGTCAGTTCAATTTATTTCATATTCTATTTGCACAATAACGTTGTTTTTTTATTTTTCTTGTTTCTTTATATCACAACTAAATGAAAAACATAACTTTAATATTAATAAACATGGCACTTTATTTAAATTTGTGTAACAAGTTATACGTAATGTCACGCTATAATCTAAAAAAAGATCATTCTGTTAATTATGACACCTAATAAACTGTTGGCATATATATTCCCGTTTAAATTTGCTTTATTTAACCAGTAGATAGCTTTTATAATATCTTTACCAGTTCCACAACCTTCATAAAGTGTTTTCCAATCATATATTGCCCATCAGCATATCCATTTTCGGCAGATTTTTTATACCATTCAAATGTTTTTGCTTGATCCTGATTAATTCCATAACCGTTGGCATATAAATATGCTAAATTTTGTTGTGCTCTGGGATATCCTTTTTTTAGCACCTTTAAAATACCATTTAAACGCTTCTTTTTAATCCACATCTACACCTATACCATTGTTATAACAATACCCGGTATTATTTAACGAATAATATTTCCAGCAAGAGCTGATTTTAATTTCAATTGGAGCCCTTGAACTTCATCTTTTACTATTCCTATTCCATCCTTATAACACTCACTACCATTAAATAGTGCTACTATATTTCCATTTTTTACAGATTTAAATACAATTCAAATGCTTTTTCTTCATTTTTTCGATACCAAAACCATAATCATGGCAATAAGTCACACGATTTAGAGCTATAATGGACCCTTCATCTGCAACTTTAGAATAGATCTGAGAACTTCTTTTCAAATCTTTTTCAACATCAAGACCATTATCATAACAATATGCCACACAAGTTAAAGCCATATCAGATCCTTCATCCGCAACTTTAAAATAGATCTGAAACCTTTTTTTCAAATCTTTTTTGATGCCTAAACCATCAAAATATATGTCTGCAAGAAGTATAATTCCCATTTCTCTGTTTATATCGTAAAATTTCCTTAGTGAAAGATTTAAGGAGATATTCTTCATATAAATTCTTTCACTGGCTGCTAAATTAAAGAATTTAAATGCCATTTTGTTATCTATAACGGTTCCAATACCATACTGGTAAAAAAAAATACTATAAGGCTAGTGAACCAATAATGTGACGGATATCTAATAATTTTATGTAAAATTTTGACTGAATTCAAATTATGTTCTCTAACATAATTTTGATCTTAATTGGTCGCATTTCGTGGGACTGAATTTTCAAAATATTAATAAAAATTCAATAATTTTTTAATAAATATGATATTATAATCATTAGTTTTAGCTGTCATGGAATTATTGAAAGGAGTTTCTTCGTTTGATTTTTCAAATTTATTTTTTGAATTTAGTTCAGTAATAATATTGATTTCAGAAAGATCGTTAACAACTTCAAAGATGTCTGGTTGGGAATTTCCATGGTGTTTCAAACAATCTATTCAAATGTATCCAACTGTTAACAATAATTACTATGTAAATAATCTAAATAATTCAAATAATATGTAAATCCATACCGGTATAAATTTCCTTGTATTTAGGAGGAATTCCAAGTATACTCTTTTCTCTTTTTATTTTTATAATATTATCATTTATCAAATCAATAATATTATTAATTGTTGGCGATAGTAGTGATGATTTTGTTATTAATTTCTCTTCAAAAGGAGAAATAACATCATTAGAAATTTCCCAAAGGATAATTCCTAAACTGAAAATATCTAAACTTTTATTAAATAATTCTAAATATCTAAAATCAGTATATTGGAAAGGGATAGTAACGGTAGTAGTAAGGGATTTTAAATAGTTTATGCCAAAATCATTTAATTTAATAGTCCCATTATGAACAAGAATACTTTCAGAAGTTTAATTTGAATGTCAAAAAATATTAAATTATCATAAAATAATTAAATAATAAAATAATAATTGAGCTAGAAATTAATTTATTCACACAAGTTAGTTTAATTACCAATTTTCCATGAATTATATTATTATCATCATTTGCAATCTGATTTGCAAGATTTAATTTCATATTCCAATCTAATTTTTGGTAATTTGTCTTCAAATATTGACGAGGAGAACCATTACTTGCATATTCGAGAACAATCATATGATTCTTGGCATTCTCTGTATAAATAAATA